ACCATAGGGTCCAAAGTAGGCCGGTGGCAGCGACTAAACCACTGCGCCACCACCACCACATTACTCACCTCAATCGGTCACTGGGTATTTCGGTACCATTTTTCTGGTTTGTTTCCTGTGTGATTTTGATTTGTGTTGTCCCCATGAGACCATTTCTGCACAAAGGTAGGATAGCTTCCCTCATTTGAACGTTCTAAGAAGAATGAAGGTCGCCTGTAATTCACACAATCCTGCTGTGTTATGTCTACTACCCTACAGGAACACGTGTGAAATAAAGCGTCTCGGTGTATCCTGTGTGCTGGACAACTACCGGGACGCAAGAGCAGAAAACTAGATCGGCTAGGTGTTCACTTCGTCTGTGATCAAAGTAAAACTTCAACACTAAACAGCCCTGAATTGAACGTCGCATTCGTTCATTCTATCTCTGATACACTAGCATCCCTCAGATCGTCGAGCTACTCCGAGTTAGTTCTTCTATACAGAAGAAGGTTTTAGGTTTCTCCCACCTGATTCAAGGTTTGCCGTCAGTCCTGGTGGCCAATCTCCAGCACTTCTCAAGCGCTGGATCATCAGCTGAGGTGAGATGCAGCTCTTGTCAATAAATCCATTGTCTGCTTTATTTCTAAGACACGGAAACCTGTAATTTTTCCCCTATCCCTAAAACAGTGACCTCCAGCGTTTAATCTAAATGTTTTCTTCTCATCACAATGACTTATTTTGCACTAAAACGCACCAAACCTGATATTTCCATGATAGCATTGAGAAAACGAGTCGTGAGCGAACAATTGTTCTCCGATATTCCTAGTCATGCTCTTACATATTATATAGTGGAAAAAATAATGGTTACATAATGATAGCCATTGGCTCAATCTAAAGTCATTAATCGGAGGTAGAGTAGAGGATGTGTATGTGTATATGTATCTATGTATGTATGTGCGTGTGTGTAAGAATGTTTAGTGTGTTAGTTTATGTGACCTTTCCCCACTTGGGACGTATCGCCGGTACCGGACAAACCGGAGAAGGCTTTCGATATGGTTTATCGCATCCCAATCAATCGGTCGAGGGCGGACACTAGCTATGGTCGAGACGATCGCCATTCGCTTATTAGGCCCCAACCTGTGCCCAAAAAGGACTGGTTCAAGCGCTCCTATTGCCTTGGCCGGGTGCAAAACCTAAGACGGGACATGACGTGTCACTTGATTCAAGTGGGGAAAGGTCACATAAACTAACACATTAAACATTCTAACAAACGCACACACATACGTACACATCCGCTACTCTACCTCCGATTAATGACTTTAGATTGAGCCAATGGCTATCATTATGTAACCATTATTTTTTTTTACTATATAATATGTAAGAACATGACTAGGAATATCCGAGAACAATTGTTCGCTCATGACTCGTTTTCTCAAACCTGATATTTCTAGTCGTCTGTGCTCGTTGGTAATTGGTAGTCAGAATCCTTTTAAGATTGTTCAAAAAACAAATTGATCTATAATAGAAGCTGTATCATCTGTCGTCTACTTTATTACGAAGTCCCTGGACCTTTAAGTGTTTATTTGTATATTTCTTGCCCCCTCTATTGCGATTGACTCGGTCTCTCGCTCACAAATTGGAGTCATTTGGCTGCCCTGTACCCATTCTTTTATGGTTAAAAGACTATTTTACTGACAGGTTTTAACGTACCAGACTGAATAAGAAATAACCTTGTATATTGGTGAATAATAACTCAGGAGTTCTTGAATGTGCCGTTTTTCCTCCCTTCCTACTTATTCGTCGTTTGCCTTGTTCATTCCTCCGTTCCATCATTTGCCAAACTTATCATGTAGGCGGATAACATTGTGCTATGAATATCATGTGGAATGATCACAGCTCAGAACGCGGATGTCGGTGTGCTCTCCGAGGTGGATGCATTGTTTGCGAAAGTTTCACAGTCAGGCTGGACAACATCAGTGACACTGATGACTTTGCCTATGAAACGTCTGCAAAAAACCCTTCCACTTCGGAGAACACGGTAATGCCAACTACGTTGTATTATATCGAGCTTTTTTAAATCTGTCTGATTTCCTTTCTTTCGCCATTTAGGAATTTTTCCTCCAATCAGGCCCTAACCTGGAACTATCTAAATGTTTTGATAGTATCTTCACACTTTCGCCTTCCTCTAACCCCAACTAACCCTTATGCATTGAGGGCTCTCCATTTGTTGAGTGGACACCATCCAGTACCTTGGTGTTACTATGGAAGGTTTCAATTTCAGTTTCAGTTCGCACCACCATTAACCATGCACTTTCGTGCGTCGGTTTTGATTGCTGTCTTGTGGTGCCCCATTTGGATAAAGGAGCGGAATGAAGATAGAATGTTGAGAGAAAATTCAGGAGGAAGATGGGAAATTCATATAGGCTGCTGTTAAGAGAATGATGAATAGATGCATGAGCGCCACTGTTTGCGACACCCAGCCATATCACCCTGTGTATCTAACCATCAGTGACCATCATCTCGGGGTCCCCGGCCGGGGAGCCTAACGAGACATATGTGACCTAGTTTCCTGGTTAGGATTTTCATACCCTCATGCTAGGTCTTCATTTGATCACTCTTGACCCTCTTCCAACGGCTACCTGCCTCGGCAAACATCGCTTGCCGTGGCAACCTATTTGGTGATATGCGTAACACATGCCCCAACCAACGTAATCTATAAAGGTTGACTACCTGCTCCTGTGGACGACCGCGATTACGTAAAACTCTACGACTAACCTCAGCATTGCTCGTTCGATGGTTCAAACAGACTCGTGCAATGCGGCGTAGACAGCGGTGTTTGAACACCGACGGTCTATTTTTATCCTATTTCCTTAATGACCAATTCTCTGAACCGTAAAGGAGAAGTGGCCGAACTGCAGACCATGGAAGGTGTGGTCTTTCTGTATACGCAGGTTGAGGGAATTTACTGTTACGGTTAACTTCCATTGCTCCTCGTTGTGGCTCTTCATTACTTCTTATGGGCTATCTTGCTGCCAAATTGTGCGAACTCCATACTGAGTCGTGTAAACGCTATGCTCACAAAATCATCGCTGACCACACAGATCCTCTCCATTCCGACTTAGTTGCCGGTCGCTTATGTTTCAACTAGGTCAAGTTTTCAACTAGCGAGAATCAACAGTTACGAAAATCCCTTGTTCCATATTTGGCCTATATTCTTACTGACAAAGACAGTGGTCACTGAGTTGCGGATGAACCTTTTAGGTTGAATGAACTCTTTTTCTCTTTCTTCCACGTTCGGTTTTCATTTTCGCGTGCATTTTTCTGCTACAGTTACAGGTGATTTTTAGTGAAATGTAGGTACAGTTGTACAATTGTATCAAAATTCACAATACAATAATAATCAACACCGGACAGCGAAATACAGTGAAGCGAACTTCACTGATCACCACCAGACTAATAATGCAAACAAAGTTGGTGTTAAGGTGGACAGGGATGAGTAGACCAATTTTGAGGGAAGGGGAAGGTGAACCTCTATCACAAACACAGTACAAACCGTGTATGTGTGATACCGTTTCAAGCATTCAAGCCTGATAAGAAACGACAACAAGAACGCCATTGCTGTCGGCTCGCTCCATATTCTTCAATGTCTCCAACCAACTAATTGCAATCTTTCGGACCCCAGCCTGGAAGGCGCGAGATACCTACTCGGTGGCTCGGTGCATTTCTTCATGCCTCGTCTCCACGTGGTTTCCTTCAGCCCGGAGCGGCAGGCGACAGTTGGGCTGCACAGAGCTATTAGGTAGAGTAAGTGTATCTAGTCTTCCGGGTTGGGGTCCAAAAGACTCCGTAACTGGATGATTGGAAACACTGAATCGACAGTAGCGGTAATCGTGCTGTCACTTCTTATCAGTCCAGAATGCTTGAAATATTATCTACGCACAGCTGAACCATGAACTCAGTGAGTTGACCGTAGAGATCCGCTTTCTTTTCCCGCTCCTAAGAAAAGGCCCAATCACTATCCTCCCAACACATCCTCACTTACCCTATATAAAAGCGGCTGCGATGATGATGATGATGAGCATTCGCAATACGCGCTCTAGCCAGCTAAGTCTCCCAATCTGAATCCATCGAACTAACAATCTTATCCCTGATAAACTCCCAAACACACGCCTCCAGATTAGTGACCCGTTTGCACCATCCCACATGGGTTGAAGTACGTCAACGTCGATAATCAAAAACTTCTAGGCGATGGATATCTTCTACTCGCAATACGCAATGTCACGCCTTATTGTATAAAGATTATAAAGAGTAATGATTTGAAGCCGGAGAAAAAAAAGTAAACTATGAGAATAAAAAGGATGACAACTGGTGTAATGATGGGACCGTGGTGTAAACAATAGGCGAGTAGCGATGGCAGAACTCATTAAATCACCCAGTATGAACTAGAGAAAGAAATCGTCTACATATGCAAAATACAGAAAAACAAGCTGATAAGTGTTCTTAAACGACAGATGTCAAGAATCGTAATACTACCCACTTTGTTTTCCATGACGTCGTTTTCATTACCAGCGGAATCTTCACCCGGAAGGCACTCGGACCGCGTCTTGCATTCCTCATACATAAACATCATACGACGACGATTGTCACCCTTAGTTTTACGCAATATATCTTGGATTGTAGGTGTATCCACATCAACCAGAATTTTCGAACAGTGGAAGCAGACACAGCGCAACAACTTCAGAGTCTTCTTCATAAAACCAATATGGAAAACGGGTTTAGCAAGTTCAATGTGGCCAAAATGTCCGGGACAAGTGGACACATTTCCGCTACACGTCTGGCATATCGAGTTGCGGTCGACGCATCCTTGACGTGGATCCATCAGTCCACCGAGCTTCGGCCTGCCACCTTCCAACGTTTCTGCATACTTGACACCTCCATCAGAGGTAACGGACATTTCTTTCTGAACATTTATGATTAGAAAGAAAAAGCGCGTTAGAAGTTTGATTCATGAAAGAGCTAGTTATCTTAAGATAATAAGAGACATCATACCATCACCAAGAACGAGGAAACGTTGTGTACGGATTGGTTTATCATCTAAGTGGATTAGTTTTTAGCATCTCTGCAAATGACGGTATCATCAAACGTACGCTTAGCCACGGACTGGGTAAACATGATATCTATCTAGGCCGACAATATTTTAGTCTTTATCGGTTGAACAACCGTACCGCTTATGCACTTTAAGTAACAGCTTTTCTACATCAGGTAACGGTTGTAATTTAGACTGACTTCATTAGAGCTACAAGTGAGAAAAGTGCAGCTCGAAAGGACTCATTGTAACCTCAATTAATTCAGTCAGTTCAGTGCTTACAACCATTAATCATGCACTTTCGTGCGTCGGTTTTGGTTGCTGTCTTGTGGTGCCCCATTTGGATAAAGGAGCGGAATGAAGATAGAATGTTGAGAGAAAATTCAGGAGGAAGATGGGAAATTCATATAGGCTGCTGTTAAGAGAATGATGAATAGATGCATGAGCGCCACTGTTTGCGACACCCAGCCATATCACCCTGTGTATCTAACCATCAGTGACCATCATCTCGGGGTCCCCGGCCGGGGAGCCTAACGAGACATATGTGACCTAGTTTCCTGGTTAGGATTTTCATACCCTCATGCTAGGTCTTCATTTGATCACTCTTGACCCTCTTCCAACGGCTACCTGCCTCGGCAAACATCGCTTGCCGTGGCAACCTATTTGGTGATATGCGTAACACATGCCCCAACCAACGTAATCTATAAAGGTTGACTACCTGCTCCTGTGGACGACCGCGATTACGTAAAACTCTACGACTAACCTCAGCATTGCTCGTTCGATGGTTCAAACAGACTCGTGCAATGCGGCGTAGACAGCGGTGTTTGAACACCGACGGTCTATTTTTATCCTATTTCCTTAATGACCAATTCTCTGAACCGTAAAGCAGAGCTGGCTGAACTGCGGCAGCATATGCTCGACCCTTCACAGACAGCCGGATGTCGCGACGGCGTCACAAATGTGTCAGGCTGGCAAATGCCAAACGAGCCTTTTGTATGCGCGCTCATTTGTGACGCATCCGCCAGGTGAGGTATAGCTGCCTAGATTCCATCACGAGGAGACCGCACCTTGACGTGATGTGATGGCTTGTGCACCTCTCTGACCCAAAGAGCTACACAGGATGGCTTTCATCAAGCTAGATCTTATTATACCTTGAAGGTCAATGGGTATAGGTACACAAAGTTCAGTCTCCTGGTCCTCCAGGTGTGCGGCTCGATTGGAACTTGCATTTCAGTTGTGGCGCAGTGGTTTATTCGCTGTCACCGGCCTGCTTCGGATCCTTTGGTCCGAGTTTCGAGCCCCGCCATCGCGACCCAACTTTGGTGGTAAGCAGCTTTGCTGTCGTCCGGTTCTATACCACGCCTGACCTATCGGGGCCTTATGTGGTTCGCCTCACTCCAGGTTATCGATTACCATCACTTAACAGCAAGTCCTCGTGACTATGGGGTTTACTCCGTTTGCTGTGCATCACACGAAAAGTGTGAACTAAAAAAAGGTCGGTAAGATAAAATGGAGGAATAATCGATCCAAGTAAATGGGCCTCCACTTCGCTTCACCCGCTGCCTTGCGGTTAGGTTCTTGTTAGAACTAAAGGCTTTGGACAAGAACCCTAATCGTTCCTTTGCTTAGTGGCTGGACACCCTAGCAGTACCCGTCCACCATACCCCAATGCATACACAAGCTAAAAATAATTTCATACTGCATCGGTCGTCGCGCAGGATAATCAGGACCGCGCTGCCCATTGCATCGAGCGAGGTGGGTAGTGATAAGTGGGCTACTGCTCAGATATCCCAACCTTTGTTTAACTCTTCGTCTTTAAGATCCAGCCCTCTCCATTCGTCCCTTCTTCCGACCTGTGATAGTATCTTAAACAACTTGGATGTCGCTCGCCAAAGGTCGTTGCCAAATAGCACTGTAATGTATCCCGAAACGAATTGCTGATTCCAAAGCCTCGTCAATCACTGAATCTGGGGGCCTTCAACGTGAGGACTTTGGTGCAGGTAGGTCAACAAACTTGTCTGGTGCGTACAATGAAATCCTTGGAGATCGATGTGCTGCGTGTCAGAAACTCGAATCCAGGACCCTAAGCCACTTGAGCGCGCCAGATTTGTCTTCCAGATATGTTTTACAAACATCAAGCGACGACGAAGCCCGTTCAGTGGGTCAATGCGGGATAGGTATTGTACTCAGCAACAGGGTGGAGTCCTCTCTTATCGGTTGGATCCCGTCAACAGTCGTTTATGTGCAGTGCGTCTCCAGGGTTTCATCAGCGTCCGGAAGAGAAGCAATACCAAAAGGTGTTTGTTCATCGTATCAGCCTATGTACCGACCAATTGCAGTTCTGATACGAAAAGAACGCCTTCTACGATGACCTCACCGATCTCATTCGGATGAGTCGAAGCTTCGACATAGTTGTACTTGCAAGTGACTTCAACGCGCAGGTTGGAAAACTGGGCGCATCAGAAGCTTACCTAGGTGGTAGTTGTGCTCTGCCTTGCCAACGAACAGATAACGGTGATCGACTTCTTCAGCTCTGCGCAGACCATCATCTGTTCCCATCAAGCACCAACTTTCGACATAGCTCTCGACGGACGGCAAAGTGGCGCTCCAGTTCAACTGGTACGTTAACTCAAATCAAATAGCAGTAAGTTGCCGTTGGCGTGGCTCAGTGCGAAATTGTGGGTCCCATTGGACCACCTTTGTTGAGTCTGACCACACATTAGTTGTGATGCAGTTCACTCTTCGGTTGACCGGTTGACGACAAAACCAACAAACTCGGATAGCTCACCATCGACTATCTGTTCTAGTCGTTCGTGGACGCAATGAGTCAGAAATAGTGCGTGAGCTAAGCGCGCCTCAACGTGATGATGTAGATGAGTAGTGGGATCAGATTAGACAAGCAATGCATTCCGCTGCAAATATTGCTTGTGGGACTGAGCCTCAAACCCGTCGGAGGTATTGGATATCTGATGAGTCTGTAGGTGGTGGTGGCGTGCTTTGGATCCTGTGGTCCGAGGTTCGAGCCCCGCCGCCGCCACCCGACTTAGATGGTAGGCAGCTCTGCTGTCGTCCGGTTCAATACCACGCCTAACCTATCGGGTGCTCATGTGGTTTGCCACTCCAAGTTTCGAGGCTTAGGTTGCGGGTTTCCATCACTGAACAGCAAGTCCTCGGGACTATGGGGTTTACCCCGTCTGCTTTTCATCACACTTAGTGTAATAAAAAAGCAGTGATGGATTAAAAACGACAAATCCCGACTTGCCAGGATCACAACAAAGTTAGGTGGTATCTACAACGTCAGTTCACGAAGAGCCTCAAGAAGGACCGTGAGAACTGGTGAAATGGAAGTAGCGGCTGCATCAGGGAATAGTCCAAGACTGNGAAGTTCGGTCTTGCATTCAAGCTCTGAAGCGAGGAAAGGCAGGATGACCTCCTGAGCTCCCTCCTACTCTTTTCAAGATGGGGGGGTGATAACCTCGTAAGCCCTATTACTACCAAACTGCGCAACACTTGGACACAAAAACGCATTCCTTCATCTTGGGGCGAATCACTGATCGTTCCCATTTTCAAGAAAGGATCTTGCAACGATTGCGAAAACTACCGCGGGGTCAGTTTGATCCCGATCGTCACCAAAGTGCTATACTTTAAGAGAGAACAACATCCGTGAACAGCAAGCCAGATTCCAGCCTGGTCGTGGATGTATTGATCAAATTTTAACGTTGCGTCCGATCCTTGAGCTGCGTCGCACCCACCGTCGGCCAACGATCGCAGTGTTTCTTGACCTGAAAGGAGCCTTCGACTCAGTTGACCGCAAAGCTCTGATGAGCTCCCTTCTTCGAAAAGGAATGCCCCAGAAGTAGGTTAACCTACTGAGGACACTGTACTCACAGACCTCCGGTCGTGTAAGGGTTTACAACAATCTAAGTAGGCCGTTCGTCACCAGCAGCGCCCTCTTTCGCTGTTCCTGTTCCATTTCGTCGAACACCTTTTTCTCCAACTATCAATGCAATACCTACGTTTTGGAGACCACTGGGTGCGTTCTCCAGAATTTCGTCTGTCCAAAAAATTGAACATTAACGGCGAAAGAAGGCATCCTTGACTCACGCCAATGCTGGTGACGAACGGCCTACTTAGTTCGTTGTAAGCCTTTATTGGACCAGAGGTATATGAGTACAGTGACTTCATTAAGTTACTATACTTCTGGAGCAGTCCATTTCGAAGGGAACCCACTAGAGCTTCGCGGTCAACTGAGTCGAAGTCTCGTTCCAGGTCAAGGAACACTGCGATCATTGTTCGACGGTGGATGTCACGCAGCTCAAGGATCTGACGCAACATAAAATTTGATCAACACATCCACGTACGGATCGGAATGCAGCTTGCTGTTCATGGATGTTAGTCTATCTTGAAGGAGTCAGATGTATGATGACTTTGGTGACGATTGGGATCAAACTTATCCCGCAGTGTTTTTGGCAATTGTTAAGATCATTTCTTGATATATTTCTATTGTCACACACGTGAGTCCAGAGTGTGTTAAGCCAACGTGGTGAAATTATCTCTATAAAAAGATCCATGATTTGCTCGAGGGCGCGAGACTGCTAGGTTGCCCATGTCAAAGCAGGTGAGATTCCTTAGGTAATAAATAACCGATTTACAAGAAAGGCAACAGATCCTCCTGTGAAAACCACAGAGGAATTAGTCTAATCAACATTGCCTCTAAACTTCTCGCTGGTATTATACTCCGTCGATTGTCTGCCGCACATAAACGGTGTACGCGTGAGAACCAGGATGGTTTCAGACCTGGTCGAGGTTGTATCGACCACATCTTTACTCTTTGTCAAATTCTAGAACAAATTCTAGAGACATTCCTTTCATAGACCAACGATCTTTGTCTTTCTCGATCTGAAGGCGGCTTTCGACTTAGTCGACCGCTCCAAACTCTGGCGATGCCTCGCGCTAAAGGGTGTGTCCGAATAGTTTATTTCAATATTACAATCGCTCTATACTAATAACCGGAGCCGAGTTCGAGCTTACGGCACTTTTTCACTTGAGTTCACCACGGAAAGTGGTGTCCGACAGGGCTGCCATCTCTCCGTTTCTATTTAACTTTGTTACCGATTTAATTCTCGAAACAGCCCCATCTTCGTGCGAAGATAGCGGTATCGATTTACTCCCGGGTGGCGGATTGTCTGATCTAGAGTATGCAGACAACATTGTGCTACCAAGCGAAGATCCAGGTAAGTTGCAGGCTCTTCAGGATAGTTTGAGTGCTAATGTAGCCATGCGTTTTGCCCCTTCAAAGTGTAAAATGTTGCCCCAAGATTGGATTGGTCCAGCACCCAGTCTCACCTTGACTGGGGAAGTAGAAGAGGAAATAGATGAATTTTGTTATCTGGCAGCTATCTCACCTGGCGGAGGCATCACAGATGAAGTATCGGCTCGCATAATGCTCGGTTGGCATTTGTGTGGTCGATGTAGCTTAGCGTACCAGTTGAACTGGAGCGCCACGTTGCCGTCCGTCGAGAGCTGTGCCGGAAGTTAGGATAGGAAAAATTGATGTTCCGCAGAAATGCAGAAGTCGATCGTTTTTATTTGTTTGTAGGCAGTGCAGAGCACAACTGCCGCCTAGGCAAGCTACTGTGGCTCCCTATTATTGCTGTAGCGTTGACACCATACTTGTCTACAAGTGTATATATATATATATATCATAATAAGGAGTATGTGAATGACTAGACGAAATTTCCCT